TTCATCAATCATTGAGCCTGCAATATTGTCTCAAAACAACCCCAAAACCAAAAGCCCCAATGCCACCACAAAACCAGCCTTGAAGCTTGTAGAAGAGCTCGTGGGAGCAATGGCAGGAGCCTCAAATTCAACAGGAGAAGGTGCCGGAGAGATGGCAGTGTACCTGTGCCTTGGAGTCAAAACAACCACAATCAATTTCTGCCCTTGTTCGCAGTGTCCCTTCGCTCCACTAATGAAATAGAATGGTCCAGGTCGCTCCAGCTTCACCTTGGTGTCCCCATCTTTGTACTCTGCAACTGGATCTGTAATATTGCAGCTCTGGTAAGCCTCCTTTGTCACTTGCAGCACCGAGTCCTTCCCACCATCATATTTCCACACTGAAAATTTAGCACCATTATAAAAGTTAGCATCTTTGAGAAAACAGAGCAGACACAAAGGGGAGAGTTAAGGGCAAGAGAAAATACCAAGATAGTCGCCGATGCGGAAGCGGGAATTTTCAGCCCATTTGTTGAGGGAGTCAGATTCCGACGATGGGATCTTCCAGGCATCTGTCTTGCCGCCAACCAGTACTTCTCTTGCTTCTGTGAAGCTCAAGAAAAGAAATAAGAACACCAGAGAGGAAGTTAGTGTTTTTAGAGAAACAGCCATGGCTACTGAACGCTAAGAAGAATGAATAAATCAATGGGCTGACTATGTGCGAGCTGCTGATGCTACTGAGGAGATGCCATGGACATGGAGTTATGCTCTATTTATAGCATAGAGGAGAAAGAAGAGGGAGAGGGAAGAAAAGAAAACTAGCCGTTAACGACAGACGTTAGTGGGTACCACCTGACTCTCTGTCTTCTGAGCATTTGAACGTTGACGGTTGAAACTCAAACGGTCCAAATTCCAAAGCCAAGAAGCAACAAAAATAAAAACAGTTCACTCTGGGTGAGCATTTTTAAGTAGAGGATGAGTAGAAAATATATTTAATATTTATTTAAAAATTTTTAAGTATAATTTTTTAAATTTAGTGCTTTGAAGATTTATATTTAGTATTTAATCTAATAGGTTCTAGGTAATTTACAAGTATATATTATACTTGTTGAATAATATTTTATTTAAAAATTTTTCAAATTAAAATTTAATAAAATATTATTTATTTTCAATCTAAACTTAAATAAAATTAGTAAAATTTTAATAAAATATTATTTATTATAATCTATAGTTAAATATAATCTAAAATAACAATAAAGAACTAAAATTTAGTTTCAAAATTTAGAACTCATATCTACATACTACTAAAAAACTAAACTTAATTAAATATTTAACAATAAAAAACAAAAAATATGTATCCAAAAAATAAAAAATAAAAATAAATTAAATAATAGAATGAAAATCCTTAAAAGAAAATGTCAAGATTTTTGGACTTATAGTCCCCTTAATCCTTTCTTTTGATTAGTTAGAAAAGGATAGTAGCTAATGATATTATATCTATTTTAACATTCTTATATCCATGTTTTTTACTTACAATTCTTATCATATTAAATTTAGAGTTTGAAACTAAAAAATCATCTATACAATAAACAAAAATTATGACTAAAAAATTATTAATAGAAAAGTAAAAAGAAAGCTAAAAGAAGTAAACTTTAAAATTATAAATACTCACCAGTTGCTTAAGAGTGCAAGAAAGGAAAAAAATTATTGGTTGTGTATGTGATATGTATTTAGTTTAGAATTTGTTATTTACAGACTACCTGCGTGATTTTTTATATATATTTTTTTTATTATTTTTAAAAATTATTATATGATATTAGGTATAATAAGTATATATAAAATTTCAATTATATAAATATAGATATCGATTAAACAAGTTACGTAAATAATTATAAACTCTTATATTTGTTACTTAACTTGTTACTTGTAGGTATACTATTTTTGTACACATTACTTATCCAATTTTTTTTTATAGTTTGAGTGAGATACTTACCCAAATAGATAAAATAATTACAAATAATGAATATATTAGTACCCAATGCCCACCCCTACTCTGGACCAAATAACCTATTTTGAATCCCAGCCCATGTCCTCTTCTAGATGGATTTGGGCTTTCCCATCCAAAATTTCCTCTGTTTCAAATAATGAAACACTTGGCATGACACGTTGACATGCAACTGCCACGTGTTGCACAACAAGAATGAGGAACCTTATTTATTTATTTATTGGGTATTGTTATAATACAATATTTTTATACCACATTTTCATATAACTTTTCATGTGTCATTAAATAAGTGAATACATTTAATATTATAAATTTCACATGAATTAAAAAAATCAATAATTTTAATGACATGTTAAATTGTAAAAAAAAAATACAAAATAAAAAAATTATAAAAAAATTATTTCCCTTATTTATTTATTCTAAACCGACTGGGGAGAAACAGAATTAATCAACATTAACAAACCCTCTTCGGTTTTCACTTCCCAAGTTCAGAGAGAAAGAAAGATTGCAGGGACTGAAGATTGGAGGAAAAATGCGGATACCCACAAGATGGATCCTGGAGAAATGAGAGCAGCAGGGGTGGAGCAGTCCCAGAGGCCATCAGGCCGTCACCCTGGTGAGGTTCTGCACCAGAGGAGCAAGCTTCCCTCCAGCATGACCACCATGACGATCAGTGGCCTCCTCATCAGCGCCGCCATAGGGTACATGGTGTTGTATACCAAGAAAAAGCCAGAAGCCACCGCTGTGGACGTTGCCAAGGTGGCCACAGGTGTTGCGGACCCCAAGGATACTCACCCCAGAAAGTAGAAGCTAGTTTCCATAATGCTTTTTTCTATTACACATGCATGAAACAAAGCAAATTTCCTGTTCTTAAGCTAAGTAAATTTAATGAAGTTTTCAGTTTTCTTGCTCACTGTACATGCATGAATAATCAATCCAGAACTAATGCATTATGAGCATAGAATCATTCTGGGATTAAAAAAAAAAAAAAGGAAAATGCAGAAACTTTTCAAGAATATACATTTGGAACTCAGTTGGGTGTTATTCATTGAAACAGGAAAATAAGTTCACAGCTATATAGGCTACTTTTATACATTGGATAATGATGTATACAACAGGGAATTGTTATTCTCTTTCCAAACTCCTCTTCACCATTCTCAGGATTCAAATTTGAAATCTTCAACATGGAGATTCAAACTTGCTGAGCCATCATCTAAAGTACTAACAGCTATATAGTTTGATACATAAAGACACACTATAGTTTAATCAAATCTTTAGAGATGAATAGAGGAACCTTGTAAACCAAAAGCATGCATAAAATCCTATGGTACCTGTCAGCACAAAGAATGCTAATGAAGCAATGAGCATGTATCTGAAGTAGACCATCACAGAAACCATATTTGAAATCTCAAGCTTTATGAAGAAGAAGTAGGTAGCATAGAGGAAGAGGTACAAAGCAGAGGCGCCCGATGTGAAATAAGACCTCCACCACCAGAGGTAGTTCTCACTGCGTAACTGGAAGTAGCAAACCACAATGGATACTTCCGCACATGTGATGACGAGGATAATGAAGAAGAAGAAATGGAAAGTAGATATGTAGTAGAACTGATTGAAGCAGGTGGTGACGAGGATGTAGAAGAATTCCACAAATATGGTTACAAACGGGCATACTCCCCCTACCAGAATTGAGAAAACTGGTTTTGTATACCAAGATTGCTCAGGGATCTCTCTAGGGACCTTTTTAGTTACTACAGGATCCTCAATTGCTGGCTTCTTGAACCCAGAATAAGCTCCAATAAACACCAGGGGAACTGAAATTCCCAACCATAAGAAGACGAGAGTGAATATTGTCCCCAGTGGCATGGCTCCAGATGAATTCTGACTCCATAGGAGAGTATTCAAGAAAAAGAAAATGGTGAAGAGAATAGATGGGAACATTAAGGCAGTCCTCAGAGCAATACTCTTCCGTTCTTCTCCTCCAAACATTTTGTGCAGACGAGCAGAAGCATAGCCAGCAAAATAGCCCATTAATAACCAAGTTAAGAGCAAAGACGTACTAAGAGCATCCCGGTTTGAAGGGGGAAAGAATCCAAGAATAGCAAGCATCGTTGTAATAGGAATCATTCCTAAAAACTGGACACCAGTTCCCACACAGACACAAAGTAGATCAGAATTAGATGGAGGCCTGAAGATATCCCCATGAACAACCTTCCATCCTGTCTCATCTTCGGTCTCTTCTTCTGTCTCAAGTTCATTATACTTTGAAACATCAGCATAAACTGTCCGTAGCATAATAACTGCTATTGTGCCAGAAAGAAACAGAATGATTGTAAGAGAACTTATAACTGAAAACCACTGGAGTCGGCTCTCTCTCTCAAAAATATATGCATCCCATCTAGATGCCCACTTTGTACCAGATTCCTGAAATGTTGTCATCAGAAAATCAAGAGCAAGAACATGAAAAACAATCCAAAGGGAAACTGATGCAATAGAACATCATTTCCGAACAGATAGTTGAGCTATTGATCTATCCCCAAGGGTTGGATCATTGGGAAGTAAGTGTTGTTTTATAGGTTAGTAACAGGATTTAAGTCTTAAGACTAGTACTTAGGAAAATTAATTTTTTTAAATGCACCAGCTTGATATGAGGGGTGCATCCTTAAGATCACCTGGGAAGGGATTAGTGTTGAGGTATCTAAAAGTTGAGTTGGGAACACCATGACTGTAAATAAAAGGAAAAAAAAAAAAGCTATTGATCTATTAGTATATTGCAGAAGGGCTGACCTGGAATTCAACATTGTAGGTGAATGTAATTTCCTTTTTCTCTTCAATTTCTTGGGGGAGGTTGGAATAGAAATCCTTTTGCTTTGAATGTGGCTCACATGTATTTAAAAGGTTCTTCTCATTCCATATCCCTTCGTATTTATGTTGAACACTGCGTGGTTTAGAACATATACAAAATCAAGGCCATAAAGCTTAGGATAACATGAGGGGTTATGCCATCCACACATATGGCAACAAGCAGCAATTTCATGGAAAACTTGAAGTCAAGAGGGATCTGACCTGAATGGTCGAACCTCAAATCCCACAATCCTTGATATGTTTGCGTTTGAATCTTTATGATACTTGACCGTAAATGCCAAATGGTTGTGAATGAAATACTTTGGCCCTTCACTCTGTGCATATCAGGTAGAGTAAGCAAAAGTTGCAACCACTACATTCATAGAAAATGGAGCTTTTGATGCCAGTAGGCATAATTTACCCCTACGTATCGGCCTTGAAGCCCAACATGAAAGCCAAACTGATAAAAAATAGGAGGCTCCCTAAGCTCCCTAAGTAGTCTGTGTATTGGAACAACCAGAGGAAGGTCATCAAGGATCCTGTGCATGTATCACGAATTAATTAGGAAATGAAACTCAGAAAACAATTCTCATTTTCTCCCAAGTGAGCAGCATAAAGATTGTCTGTTGGAATAAAACGAATACCATACATGTTGACTCGATAATCATTGTCAACCTTCTCCTTTAACTCCTTTGCCGCTTTTGCATCAAGTATAATTCGACAAACAACAGTGCACTTTTGCGGCTCCATCATTCTAAACTGAAACAATTGAAGTTGTAAAGTAAAAGTCAATAGCCAACAAAGAAACAAGATCTGCATATATCCATCATCAAAACCAAAACTAACCACATATGGGGAGTTTTGGATACGATCACCACTAAGAACTTGTCCAAGATTCTCTATGTCGTCCACTAACTTTGGTGGGCGACAATAAGGAAGAGAATAATACATGTAAGGAAGCTGTGTACTTGTAGAGGTCAGTGTATTCACCTTCACCTCCAACAGGTCTCCCTGCAAAATTCCCATATATAAACATATCCAGACATAGGAAACCCCACACGTATTCATCAGCATCATTGGATATATAGCAGAAAATACAATCATGAACAAAATAGCTTAATTACTCATAAAAATTACTCATCCAAGGATTTACCTTTAGACAATAAAAAGTACAAGATAAAATAAGAGTTCAGATTCATCACTAACTTTAAAATCTTGATTTTATAATAGAGTTTAGAAGCGACACCTTGGAGTACTCTCTAGGGGTGACGCCGTGAAGATTGAAGCAGCAAGAGCCGTGGATGAGGAGGAGAAGTAGAAATACAACGATCATCATGGAATTGAGAACAAAGGCCAATCTTGTTCGGGACTCCATTTTCATCATGGCAAAGAAAGTTTGTGAAGCGGGAATGAAGGAAGGGGGTTGACCGTTGACCTGAAGCTGAAATGTTATGTAGTGTGGCGTTTTGTTTAGTCCGACTTCTCTCACATCGGTGGCTTTGCCGCTGTTTCCAATTTAGTCAAGTCAACCGGCGGAGTGGAGACGCTTGTATTGGCTCCGGTTATTGGAACGTGGCAAAATGTTGGGCAGATAAAAGTAGAGTTTTTTAGTTGGAAAGACTCTTTTATCTATTTCTTGAACGTGAGATTCTTTTATTTATTTCTAGTGATGAAAGGGTAAAATAGTCCCTTCAACTGAAAATTTTTTATTTATACATGGCTCCTTTCATGCGTGGCAATAACAAGACCCCATTATTTAATCTTCTTTTATAATTTCTTCAAGTTTAATTTACTCAGTCGCCTTTTGTTCTAAATTAATTTTTGTTA